ACGCTCCACCTTGATTTTTGAGACAGGGTCTTTCACCAAACCTTGAGCTCACTGATTCTGCTAGACAGGCTAGACAGCAAACCCCAGGAATCCTCCTGCTGCTGGGATTACAGACATGTTGCTACTTCTTACGTGGGTTCTGGGATCAACAAGCAAGACTGAACAGTTGCCCCAGCCCCATGAGCATGTGTGTTAGCTTCTCATTGCTGTGACCAGAACATCTGTCATGAACAAATTAAAGGAAGGAAGGTTTATTCCAGCTCATGGTTCAGAAACTTAGTCCATCATGTTGGGGAAGGCATAGCTGTGCTTGGCTTGGTCAGCTGTGGCAGAAGTGGATTTGTGGATCTCTGGCAGGGCACAAGTCTTCCTTGGTGGTTGAGGGGCCCAGAGATCGTGGCAGGAGCTACAGCCTGAGCATCCCTTCTACCGTTTTAGGCCATGGTCTGAGACTCCTGGGTCAGGCTTGGTCACATGATCTTTTGTCAGTCTCAGTAGGAGAGGCTGGCCCCACCAGGACTCTCCTATGGCTGGAGGGTCCCTGCAAAGACTCGGATGTTTACTTTTACATTTTGGTCTCAGGTACTGGGAATTAATCATAGCTCTTCAGAGCAGCACCCCACAGTCTTGGCCTTGTAGGGTCCTTTTATTTCTGGGGTATTTCGTCCCTACATCTTCACTGCTGCCTGCCTTCCACTAGGGTGGTGTCCACCCTGCCTAGGGCACGCCTCTTGTTTTGCTTGTGTTGGGCAGTGGCAGCAGCTGCCTGTCCATTCTGTTTCCTACTTTTTCCCCTAGTGTTCCATTTTGAAGTGACACTGGGCTCCTGCCTTCCATGCTGTGGGGTCCAGAGGGGGTGCACCTATGGGCAGGGCAAAGGGAACTGTGGCCACCAGGGCATGGAGGGCAACAGGCAGCCTATAAGGGCTGTGTGGCTAGGGAAAGGGGAGGGACAGGAGTTGTGGCCATGGGGGAGGGGACAGTTGCTATTGTAGCCCAAAGGGAAGGAGGGGATCAAGTGAGGAGCGGACACCCCAGTCTCTCTGTCCCTCCCTGTGATTGGACAGGAAGCTGAAGGACCTGGGTGGAGTCTATACCAGAGGCCAGCCTCCTGGCATAGAGCAGCACAGCTGGGGGTAGATAGCCAGATGGTAAACCTTCACAGTGGACCCCACCTGCCTGCAAACAGGCTCAGTGCCTTCTAGGTGTGGGGTATATGCCAGCTGCATGTGGTACTCTGTAACATGGTTTGTTCGGATCACACTGTGATTGGTATAGTGCCTTCATATTTTGCTATTTTATTTTTTTGTCTTTTTCATTGAGGCAGGGTCTCTCTTTAGCCTCAGCTGGCCTGGAACTCCCCATGTAGAACAGGCTGGCCTTCAATTCACAGAGCTCTGCCTGCCTCTGCTTCTTGAATGCTGGGATTAAAGGTGTGTACCACATGCCCAGTGCTGTTTTATTTTATTTTATTTTAAAAATATATTCTTTGGGCCGGTTGTGGTAGTGCATGCTTTTAATCCCAGCACTTGGAAGGCAGAGGCAGGCAGACCTCTGTGAGTTCAAGGCCAGCCTGTTCTACATGGTGAGTCCCAGGCCAGCTGGGGTTATAGGGAGACCCTGTCTCAAAAAGACCCAAAATTTTTTGTTTATTGTTTTTATTTTTAATGTGTATGTGTGTTATGCCTGCATGTATGTAAGTGCACCCATGTCATACAATGCTTGAGGAGGTCAGAAGAGGGCGTTTGATCCCCTGGAACTGGAGTAATGGATGGTTGTTAGCTACCATGTGGGTGCTGGGAACCAAACCTGAGTCCTCTGCAAGAGCAATCAGTGCTCTTAACCACTGAGCCATTTCTCCAGCTCCAATATTTTGCTACTTTAACATGAATCTTTCTGAGACTGTGGGAAACCTGTCACTGGGTCACTCTTTCCCCACCTCACCTCCGGCATTTGTGGGCTAGATGATGCCTGCGTGCCCCCAACCGTGACCTAAGATGTGACAGAGTTGAGGCTCAGAGAGGCCTAGGGCCTTGCCTAGGGTGCACAGCAAACGAAAACAGTCAGGTTCAGGACTGTTGGTTCTTTTATTCCTGGACCTCAGTGTGGGTGACAGAGGGCCAGAGATCTAGAGTCACTTGGTGTGGTGATAAGGTAGGGTCAGGTATTCCTAGGTAGGTGAACAAGACAAGGTGGGTCTGGGGGCAGGGCAGAGCTAGCTGGAAGGGTTGGAGGTGCATAGGTACTATGTAGCACATACCCTGGGGAAACTCTAGGAGACCCCAGCCAACTAGAATTGGGACCTTTCTCTACATGAGAAGAACCAATTGGCAAGGATTGTGGAGGGCTGCAGAAGCCAGAAGATGCTTGGGTCTCTCCCTGCCCCTTCCCTCTCCCACTGCGTCCCCATCTGGAGGGGTAGAGGAGACTTATTCAGCTGGAGTGAAGGCCCCATTCTCCCAAGGGCTGCTCCTACTCCCAGTGGCTTTATGGGATGGCATGTCAGTGTGGGGGTCGGGGTGTTAGACCTCAGGGCTCCAGAGCACCTCTCAGATTCTGGCCTTTGGGCCTGGCTTGGGTGTGGGCTTCCTCCTCCAATGGCCTCCTTATGGATGGTCTGGGCTCTGCAAATCCTGCCCAGCCTAAACAGGACTCCACAGTGCCCAGGTTATCCATAGTTCACAGTAACTCCTTCCTTCCTTGTTCTTCCTGCCCTCTCCACACTCCTGTACTCTTTCAGCACAGAGCTTCCATTTGCTCATCCTCAGGCCTCTGGGGCCTCAGGCCTCTGGGGCTTCAGCCCCCTGAAGCCCTGAACTCTTCACCTGCCTCTTGCCGTTCCTACCTGAAGCACTTTGTCTCTAGCAATCTGCCCAGGTCACAGCTCATAAGCTGCCTCCTATGAGAAGGCTTCCCTGACTCCCTGAGGGAGAAGGCTTCCTTACATAGACCCTGCTCTCCTTCCTTAATTTACTGCTTCATAGAGCCATGAGTGCCTGGCACAGTGGGTGCTTACCATCTTCCCCATGGGTCATCAGCTCTAGGAGGCTGACCAGGTAGCTTGTCTTATTGGCTGACAAAGCCCTAGTTCCTGGAGGTAAGCTGGCATAGAGGGGGCCCCCTGGACAGCAGTGGCTGACTGCTTGTGCTGGGCTGGGGCACTGGTGACCACAGCTGGTGGTGACACGACTGCCTGCCATTGTAGTCCTTCTGTAGCTGCCTTTCAGGCCATGCTGACAGGCAGTACCTTCCCTGCTTGGGCTGGGGGTGAGGGTGCTGGGCAGTGAGTCCTGGGAAGGATCACTGTGCTTCTTTTTTCACCCCCAAACCTTAAAGTTACTGAGTTTGAAATGAGAGTTCAGTGTAGTAGCACAGTCATCCCAGTACTGTCGTCCCAGTACTTGGGAGGCTGGGAAAGGAAGGAAGGTCTGACTTTAAGGTCAGCTTGAGAGACAGTGTGAGACCTCTCTGAAAAAAAAATTCCCTTCCCACAAAAAGTTTAAAATAACAAATGCTGAGACCCAGGTATGATACTTTGTTGTAATTTCTTAAAAGTCAAAACCAGTGGTGGGCATGCCCAGTCAGTAAGCTCCAGAACCTGAACTCAATCTCCAGAACCCATGTCGAAATGTCAGGCATAGTGGTATGTATTTGTGATTACAGTACCAGGAAGTGGAGACGAGTGGATCCCTGGGCCTCACTGGCCAGCTAGCCTAGCCTAGTTACTGAATTAAAGTCCTGTGAGAAACCCTATCTCAAGGGGATGAACAGCATTCCTTAGCATGACACCTGAGGTTGTCCTCTGGCCTCCACATGCACACACACATGCACACTAGCATGCTTACCCATACACATGCTCACTTACATGTGCATGCACAACTCTACACATGTGCACACACACACCCATCAGGAACACACGAATGCACCCACATTCACATTAAAAAAAAATCTTTTGCAAGGCAACTACCACCATTAGCACTAGACTTCAGGGGATTGTGCTGTCCAGGGACTGTGGCACTGAGTCACTGTGCTTGTGGAGACCTGTGATGCTTGCAGGAGTGAGGGCTGGTGGAAAGATAGCATTTGAGTGGCTGTGGGGGACTTTTAGGAGAGCAGGGAGTGGGAATGGGGGGGCAGGGCTCCTAGGAACATTCATGATTGGGGGACCCCCTCCAGTGTGGAGCATGATGGGGGCTTTGGCCTCTTCTTGTTGGTGATAGAAGCCAGGTGGCCGTGGATGTGTCAGAACTAGCTGTTTTTGGATCACTCTGGCATCTCAGGGAAAGGCAAGGGCAGAGCAGAAGAGAGCTGTTCTGGGGGCAGCTGACAGGATGGAGATAGGTAGGATGCATCTCCTGGTGCTTCATGGAGGTGGCAGGAACTTCTTGGGCTAACCTTGAAGTCCCAGGGTTCCATGGGATCTGAAGGTGGGAGTGCAGTGTACATGGGGTTGGATGACCATGCCAAAGTCTAGAGGGGCTTGTCCCAGGGGCCCAGTGCTCTTGACCACATCCTTGGCTGGAAGCTGTGACTGGGGACCCAGCCAAATTATTGGAGGAGGAAAATTGTTTTGGTGATTGTGTGTACAGACATGGGCATAAGACTGTTCGGACCACCCATAGGTGTATTCTGCATGTGGGTATATCTGGGTGACTGAATAAACAAGTTCTCATGTGTGCCAACCTGTCTGGACCTGAATGTAGGTGTGAGACTGTGGGTGTGAGGTCAGCTTGCTGACCTGGAGGGCTCAAGCAACCCTGTGCAAAAGATATGGGGCCACATTGGTGACCTGCATTAACTAATCTGTGGTACTTTAGTGACACAATCTTACCTGTTTGGATCTTTCCTGCATGTGGCTGCTGTATGTGTCTGAGGAGGCTTGAGGGAGGTGTGAATATGGGGAAGGAGGTCACATCTGGGAGTGGGTGGCTGTGTGTTGTTCATGTATCCCATCTGTGTATGTGTCCCTTGTGTGACAGGCTTCCTCTCTATCCTCCCAGGGCCTCTCAGGACCATGGTGCTGCTATGGGAACCTGCAGGAGTGTGTCTGGCCCTGGCCCTGGCTGTGGCCCTGGCCCCAAGCCTAGGGGTGGCAGTTCCATGGCAGGACTGCACAGGTGCGGAGTGCCCACCTCTAGAGAACTGCATCGAGGAGGCACTGGAGCCGGGTGCCTGCTGTGCCACATGTGTGCAGCAGGGCTGTGCCTGTGAGGGCTACCAGTACTATGACTGCGTGCAAGGTGGCTTCATGGATGGCCGCGTGCCTGCTGGCCAGTCCTACTTCGTGGACTTTGGCAGCACTGAGTGCTCCTGCCCACCGGGTGGTGGCAAGATCAGCTGCCAGTTCATGCTGTGTCCTGAGCTGCCACCCAACTGCATCGAGGCCTTGGTGGTAGCTGACAGCTGTCCTCAGTGTGGCCAGGTGGGCTGTGTCCATACTGGCCGTAAGTATGCTGCTGGCCATACTGTCCAACTGTCATCCTGCCGGGCCTGCCACTGCCCTGATGCCGGTGGTGAGCTCATCTGCTACCAGCTCCCTGGTTGTCATGGGAATTTCTCAGAGGCTGAGGAGGGAGACTCAGAACGGCAGTATGAAGACCCCTATAGCTATGACCAGGAGGTGGCTGAGGCAGAAGCCACTGCAGGCCTGGCAGACGAGGTCCAGACAGGTGAGGTCCAGGCAGGTGCAGGGGGCCCTCCTGTTGCTCTGGGAGGTGGGAATATGCCACCATCCCCCATCCGGGCAACTTCCTGGCCTGCTGCCCTCCTCAGACCTACGGCAGCTGCTGCTCTGGGTCCCCCAGCTCCTGTGCAAGCCAAAGCCAGGAGAGTGACAGAGGACACTGAAGAGGAAAAAGAGGACGAGGTGGTAGAGATAGTGGTCACTGAGCCACCATCAGCAGGTGGCCCCAGGAGACCGGACAGCATGCTCATCACCACCCCAGCCGGACCCAGCCTCTCTGTCCAGGAGAAGGGGGCTGAAGCCAAGGCAGGGCCTGAGGAGAACCTCATTCCTGATGCTCAGGCCAAACCTCGCAGTGTGGGGCAAGAGGGTGCTGTACCACTCCCTGGGTCAGGTCTGGCTGGTCTCATCCCTTCACTGGCCACATCCAGCTCTCTAGGAGAACCAGTGAGGCCCAGCAGTCATCCCATCCTAACTACATTGCCGCCAGATGGAGTCCAGGTCTCACCTACCCCAGAGGTATCTGAAGTACCCCAGCATTCACAGGTGCTGCCCCATGCCCAGACAGAAGAGGACACAGACCCCAACTCTGTGCATTCTGTCCCCAGAGTTGGCCCTGAAGGTAAGGCCCTTTTCTGTGTCCCTGCAGGGCCACTGAGCCTGGAGGGCTACCTGAGGGCCCCCGCCCCCAGCTGTCCTCTTTTAGGCCTGAGACAGTGGCGTGGGTAGGGGGAGGTTACCATAGCTGCCCTCTCACAGGCCTGACGCAATGGTGCAGGTAGGGAGAGGTCCTTGCTCTAGCTGGGCCCCTGTTGGGCTCTGGATGAGGCCCATGAGGTAGTCCTCATTAGAATAGAGTCTGATCTGGCTAGTGGGGTCCAGGGGTGTCTCATCAGGAATCACAGAGGCCCTGTTGGGCATGCTCCCCAGCTGTGGGTGGTGACAGAGTGAACATGTTTTCTTGCGGCTCTAACTCTGCCCTTCATTCTAGTCAAGGATCTGGTTCACATGTCAGCCCTCTCCTTCCAGTGTCCCATAGTGGCTACTTATAGAGTAGAAGCCAGAGTCCCTGTGGCTATGGCTATAGGCCCTTCACAGCTACCCTAATGGTCTCTATACCTCCTCTCCTGTCTCTTCTGCAGTGAGTTCAGACCCACTGGCTTCTTGGCTGGGAAGGGGAAGCTTCCTGCCTCAGGGCCTTTGTACTTGCTGCAGCCTCTGTGGGAGCTGTTCTTCCAGGTGTCCAGGTGGCTTCCTCCTTCCCTCCAAACAGGTCCCCTCCTCAGGGGTTTCTTCTCTGTCACCCACTTTCTTCTTACTGTTTTAATTTCTCTTGGCAATAATGGATATTATGGCATATAATTATTTGGGTACTTGTTTAATGTTTTCCTGTTATTCAGCATCATGCCTGTCATATATGGTGCTGAGCCCAAGAACTTTCAATACCATCTGTACACAGCTGGTGCTCTATAAATGTTGGGTGACTGATGGAGTTAGTGGGAAACCTCTGTCTGCCCCAGCTATTCTTCACTTTGATTGTCTCACTATCCCTTGAGCATCCTACTCACTGTTCTGAGCATTTGCTCACCCTGTTGCTGGCCAGCTCAGACAGTACCTCTCCCAGGAAGCCTTCCTGAACCTTTGAATCCTGTTTCTTCTCTTCTCACCATCTCTGTTTTCTTCCTCCAAGGGTACATGGGAAATTGTGTGGTTTCTAAAGCTTCTCCCCATAGCCAGAACCTGTATGGAACTTGTTTAGTTCCATACCATTCACCCAGTACACCTTCATTTAGGTATCATCTGTTAGCAGGCCTGATGGCCCTGGGAAGGCAGAGGCCCAGCATGGTTCTGGGGTATAGGCCACAGCCTTCAAGGGAGGAATGTAAGGTGGTATCTGGGAAGGCTTCCTGGGAGAGTGGGCATGGTGGGGTTCTGAGATGTCTGCCGTGTGACCACCTTTCTGCCCTGCGGCTCCAAGCTGTGTGGTCATGGGTGGGCTTCCTGCCTGCTGGATGTCTGCCCATCCTTGCTGGGTACAGTCTGTGTGTGGGACCTGCATATGGGCAATGAGGTTGCCACGTGGGGCTGTAGGGCTCTTCCAGGCCTGTGGCCCTTAGGGCCATCACCTTAGCTTCCAGTCTGCTTTCATTTCTGTGATGTGCTGAGCACACTGGGGAGGTGTGGCCCAGTACTGACTAGCTGGGACAGGGGCTGGGGCCTCTGCCATTCTCCACCCAGCCTTGAGCCTGGGAGTGCAGGGGGCAGGGAAGGTCTAATGAATTGCATGTGTGTGGGAGGGCGTGGCCTGCTTGGGCAGGCAGTACCATTGGGCTGCAGCCTCTGGGTTTCCAGAATAGACACAGCCTTGTCTTCCCCCAGCCTCTTGCTTCCAGTAGCTCTGTGGGGTCTGGGACCAGCTTTGTTCTCTTGGTAGTTCTCTTCTGTCCCTGACTTTCTCAGCTGCCTTTGGCTGTGGCTTTAATGAGGTGGGGCCTGGAGTACCCCTCATCTACTGCAGAGCTGTCCTGGCAGCCGTCCAGCATGTGCAAAGGCCCAGAGACCACAGTTAGCAGGCCCCTGCTGGCACTTCAGCTGCAGCTGTGTGAGGTGGGGAAGAAGAGGGAGCAGGGGAGGGGTTGGTTTAAACTGGACACAGGAGCTTCAGCCTCAGCCCCTGTCTTTGGTTTCTCCATCCACTCAGGACCCACTACTGTCACCACTTCATGTGCTGACTCTGTGACCCCAGAAATGGCTAGGCCTTTTGTACCTCAATTTCTCCATCTGTAGGCAGCAGAGAAGCCTCTGCTTCAGGTCCCTTTTGAGGATGTGAAGAGCTAATTTGTGACTGTGCTTGTCATAGAATTCAGTGTATGGAGAAATGTTGATGATCCTGCCCCCATCTGTTCTTCAGTCACCACCAACTTCAGCAGGCATTTGTGGGGCTGTGTCTGTGCTAGATTCAGTGCCAGACAACCAAGCAGGCTCAGCCTTCCCCTTTGGGGCCTAATGGCATGGAATACATTGAGCCAATAAAGGCACAGCCAGGGGGATACACAGCAGGTGAGGGTTGGTGACAGCAAGCCTAATGGTTGGCACTCTGGTGGCTGGCTGAGGAGATTGGGGTATGGACCTTTGGATCCCCAAGCTGCTCTTGTGGGAAGGATTGTGGGCACTGGATAGGAAGAAGCTGGAGAGACAGCTTTGCCCTGTGCAACCCCCAGGCCTACTGAGAGGCAGCTGGAAATGACCCCCAACCCTGTTGCCATGGCAGCCATGGGGCCTGGAGAAGGTGGTCTCCAGTTATTGCCCAGGCCCAGCTGGGGGTGGGTTGGGGGTCCTGCCTCAGACCCCAGTGCTGTGCCAGGGATTCCGGCTTCCTCAGCTGGGCTGTCCTTGCCTCTGAATGTGTCCAGATGTGGCTTAATGGAAGCCATGTGCCTGCCCTCTCTGGGCTGTTGAGCAGGGCTTTGAGATCTGCTGCCCTTCAGGGGGCTTTGGGAGAGTTCTGTTCCCACTGAGCTTGCACAAAGGAGGGGGCTCCAGGCAGGCAGTGGTCCTGACTTGGAAGAGCCCCGGGAAAGTGGGGCAGGAGAAGAGGGCTGCTCAGGGCCTTATTCTTCAGGGAAGGTGTCTGAACTTCTTGATGCTCAAGCTTAAGTGCTGGTTTTCATCTGTCATAGACTTTATCTTCTAGGCACTGACATAAAACTTTAACGATTATTAAGCCCTTTCATCCCCACAGTGTCCCAGAGGAATCCAGACAGCTCCAGTCACTGGTCTCTGGACATGGAAGTGGCAGAGTCACCTTCCTCCAGCAATATGCATTGTTCCATCCCCTAAATGTCACTTCTGACACCAGGTTGCCTGGGCCGTGGCAGATACTCAGTGCACAGTGTGAGTGTGCAGTACTGGGTGTTTAGTGCTGAGCACACAGTGCTGAACAAAACCCAGCACAGCCCTCACCTTTAGGAGTGTTGGTGTGGGGTTCGTTCTCAGGAGCCTGGAAGTCACAGGTATGAAGGCCTAAGTGCTGAGACTGGGGATGAGGCAGGAGTGCTTTGTGTCCTGTCTTGGGGGAGGAAATTAACTCTTTCTGGGGGATCAGAGAGGCTTCTCTTGGTAGCTGTGTGAAGAGAGGCTCTAGGCAGGAGGAGGGTCATGTGCAAAGGTCCTGCAGCAAGTTGGGATGAAAATGGATTAAGAGGAGATCTGTGGCTGGTATAAGGAAGAGGGGAAGCAGGGGCAGAAGCCAAACCCAGGGTGCCTTGCCTACTTTAGGATGAAGATCTGGGTTTGGAGCCTGATCAAGTGTACACAATGAGCTGCTTGGGAGGCTGAGGCAGTGGGATTGCAAGTCTAAGGCCAGCCAGGGCAAATTAGTAAGACTGCTGCCATGCCTTCCTCAGTATATGTATTCTTCCTCTGGAATCAAATAGACTGTTTCTGCCATATGTCATTTTTGGTCATGGTGTTTTATCACAATAGAAAAGTAACTAATCCATTCTCAGTCTGTCACACTATTGAAACAACGGACCCCAAGGAAATGGGAATTTCCCAAGGAATCTCAGACTGGGAGAAGGAAAAGTCACCAGCCAGAGGGGAAACTTGTCTCCCAGAAAGAGAGTTCACACAGCTCCAACAATTTGTCAGACCACCTTGCAGTATCAGACTGAAGCCCAGACTATGATGGGTCAGTGGTGGAGGGAACCACATCTTGACAGGGACTGCTTAGATGTACATATCCCTGGCCATCTATTTAAACTTTAATCTCACTTCAGGACCCCAAAGGTGAACTTGAGGAGTTGTTGGACCTCTTTGTCCCTTGTCTCAACGTGGCCACATTGAATAAATCTCCCTTTTCTGCTTTCTAAAAAAAAAGGAAAAACCGAAAATGAAAGTACTTGGGGTGTCACTCAGTGGTGGGGTGCTTGCCTTGCAGTGCAAGTCCTTGCTTCAATCCCCAGCATTCTCCCTCCCTTAAAAAGGTTTGAGCCTGTATCAGTCTGCCTGCAGGGGTCTTAAACCTGTGTCTCAGGAGTCATGGACATGGAGGGCTGTGTAAGAATTGCTCGCTGCAGGAACTTGGGTCTCCCAGAGTCCAGCCTTCCTTCCCTCCAGCCCTCGGACCAGGTGGGGGCTTCCCCTGCCTGTGCAGCCTCTGCCATCCTTGGCAGGGCCCCAACTATAGTCCGCCAGCTGCCATGAGTTTGTTGACCTCCCCATCAGCAGGGAGCTCTGAGGACACAGTGGGCCTCTGAATTCCTGCTTCACCAACTTTTCATGAAAAGGATTTAGGAAAAGAATTGGGACTACAGGACACACACTATGTTTGGTCCTTATTCCTGAAACAACTGTTCACACAGCATCGAGTGATATGTGATGGCAGCACAGTGCATAGACCAGGCTGGTTCATATAAGGAACTTAAGTACCTGTAGCTTTGCAGCTCTGCCAGGGCCTCCTGGATCCAGTGCCCCTTGGATCCTGAGGGATGACTGAATGGTACAGTCATTGGTGGTCCGCCTCTGTCTTGCTGATCTGCTATCCTGGCTCTCGTCTGTCTGCCTGTCAGCCTCTCTGAAAGAATGCTCATGATCATCAGAACTTGCAGACATTCAGAAATG